AATCAAAGATCATTCCTTCTACTTTTTTAGTTTCCTTCACCTCTAAAATATTTAAAGTAGAAAAATGAAAAATTGTCAACTATTTGTTGCTGATGGTATCTTTACAAGGATTGTTCAGTTAGTAGATTAGATAATGTACCACTAGCTATTGCAAAATGTTGCAAATAAGCCTGTGAGGCATTGAAGCTTTGCCCTTAAATAGTTGTTCCCTCTCACCCTCAAAAAATGTTCATTCAGGAAGACAGTCAACTTTTAGACTTCAAAAAGCCAAAGATATTTAAAATTCATTTTAACAATATCCAGTGTGAGCAGTATTGTGCGGGGAAGCAGGGGCTGTCCCCTAAGACAAGAATGCCCATTTTTAGTATTGCTTATCACAGCAAAAACCCAGAACACTCAAAATGCCCATGAGTAAACCAGAGTACATCCACAAAATGGGGTAATACACAGCTTGGTCTCTATGTGCTGATGAGGAAACCTGCCAAGATATATTTTGGAATAAAAGCAAGACTGTATGTATATTTATGCCTCTAAATATTCATTTTTGAAAATTCTGGAACAAACTTAAAAGTGGTTGTCTCTGAGAAATAGGGCTGAGAGTTTACAGAATGTGACTATCATTTTTATTTTAAATTCTTCTGTGCTGTTTGAGTTATTCATTATGTGTATTATCTTCTTAATATTAACCATATGCAGTATGCTCTGCATGGTCTGGGAGCATCTACTTGCTCGCCATAGGAGTGGGAAAGTAAGCAACCTTTCCCAGCCTCCACAAGGCAAATCTATTAAGTGGGTGCTTAACCATCCCCACAACCACTCCGGGAGCCCTCAGAGTCCCCTGCCCTTAGTTACTCCTTCCTCCTTTGTGTAGCCTACATGCACAAGTAAAGAGAAATTTTAATTTCTGTTCTTCAAGTTTTAGATCTCTATTGCCCATCTCTAAAAAGCTAACTTGAAAGAGAATGAGTAGTTATCTGACAGCAAAAGATTCCAAGGAAAAATCAGTCTTCCTCTATTGCTGTATATTGTATAATTATTACCAAAATGAAACCACCCCAACAAAAAAGGTCTCATCTTTAAAGTGTAGTACCTGCCATTCTGCCAAATCCCAAGAGAAGCAGGAAGAGCAGAATCCAAGGGGCTTTCGTTCCCACCTTTGAATTTTGAGTCTGCCTATGTCAATACCCTGAGCAACTACTTCAACTAAAATTACTTCCACAAGAGACACTAGACCACAATGGAGTTAAAAGAATGAAGTGAAATCTACATTCAAATTTAAAGAGTATCTGAACTTCACTGAGTACTTACTTCATCAAAGTAATACTTCCAACCCCATGGAGGAGAGGGGAGGGAAAAAGCAAAGTCACAGGAAATCATGCTTCTATTTTTCCCATTATTTGACCTCAGATTTCAGGTAGGAGGCTACCTATTTAGCATCAAGTGACTTTCCAAATCCTAAAAAGAAATCCCCATAGTACTTTTCTTTTGTCAGAAGGTTGTGAAACAAAGGCATTTACTAATATTTATTTATTTATTCACTATTATTATTACTATTTTTTTTCCGCTTGACTGATAGATATGGAAAGTAGGGCCAAATGTCTATTTATAAAAATCTAGTATCTATTTAGCTGAAAAACTGCTCCCACTAAATCTGAGTTTATAGAAACATTCCCACTAAAAAAAAAAACTGCATGATTTCATTTTTGGTTGTAACGTGTACAAGAAATTAGTGAAATAAACAAACTATAGCCTGGTGCACTGAGCTGTCTGTGGTACTGAAGGATGACACTAAAGCTGAAATGTACTAAGCTCTGTTCTTAACAATGCCTCCCCATCACACTATTCTAATTCAAGCACTTCAGTCCATGACTCACCTGAATCATCTTGTTTTGCCAGAGTGTGTATAAACATTTTATAAAAGGTCACACTGACTTGCTTTCCACGGTTCTCCATGGAAATGTCAGGGCCTCCCCAAGTTTCGTGAAGCAATTCCGGTAGACAGAGCGAGAACGCTGCCTATAACGTTTCTCCTGAAACTTACCACATACCAGAAACCCCCACTAGCTAGCTCTCACTGTCCTGTCCTACTAATATGCTAAAAGAAAAACTGATATTTTAGACTATGCGCTACATCCAAGGACATGCTCTGAGTAACAGCATAATCCTTGCATTTACTTTCTTAACTCCAAGCTGATCAATGTATTTGTGTTGTGTACAACACAACTAGAAGTGCCTATCTGCTTAAAACATATGAAAGAAATGCACCTATAGCAGTGACATCAATGATGTTAAAAAGGGCGTAATCCATTGTTTTCCACACACAGATACAGAGGCCTGTGAGCTTGGTTTCAGGGAGTTTCAGAAAACTATGGGACAGCACCACTCATTTTCTCCTCTGGATACATTACAACATGTTTTCCTGGTTCTTGACTTCTAGCTCGGAGCCTCCACATTTACTGGATCCTTTTCCATTTTCTATTGTTCCAAAAAGCATCTCAGATAAGAATTTGGAGTTTCAGCTTGAGGAAGAAATCCCACTAGATAAACTCTTGAGTGTAAAAGCTACATCTAAAACCACTAAATGATATTACCCAAGCATCTGTTTTGAAATTACCTTAATTTGGTCAGTGTGGCTGGTTTAACGGAAACCATGTACCATGTAATGTAGAACCAAATTTAAACATCTAACTTTCTGTGATGTGATACATTGTCCCAACAGTGAAGAAGTTCACTGTACTCAGCAGCCTCCGAGGGGCAATCCACGTGCTCTTCCATGCGATACAGACTCTAACCAATATATCTATGCATTTGTATGACAGAAAATATCCTCAAAACTAACTAGTGAGTGGAATTCTTTCAAGTGTGAAATATCTATAAAAGCATGATATCTTGTACTTCTATTAGTTTCAAGAGCTCTAATACGGTATCAGAAAGTTTTTTTACAACACATACTTAACATTTGGCCACTCCTCTCAAAACTTCTATAAGTTACTTCAAAAAATCTCTCAATAATTCTTAAAAAGTCAATGTTTTCAGGAGGACACCTTGTTCTTGATGTTGATATCGCTGGCTGTCCTCCCCCTTGAAATGCTTGTTTAGCTGTGTGCTTTTCAGAAGGTACAGGCAATAATACAAAAGCTGATATTAATAGATTTAAAAAAAACAAAAAAGACAGCAAGGTCTCTTTCCAAAGGAGATTAAGTAAAACCAGCCTGGTCTGCAAGTAAAAAAAAAAAATTTGATGTTTCAAAAAGAATTTTAAATACCTAAGAAGATTTTTAAATAATCTTTTAGGTTTAATCCTATTCATATGCCAAACGCTGGGATTTAGAGAGAAACTACAGATAAAGTAATGCTCACAGTTCAGGGCTGCTGACAAACAGGAGCAAAGCACAGCAGGAACCATCTGAACCGACAGCTGAGAAGACAGGGCCTGGTCACACTCTGCACTGGCTAGCTGGGTGACCAGCGACAGACATCTCCTCTGATGTCAGGTTCCCCATCAGTAAACTGAGTCAAAGGACCACTGGACCTATTTTGTTCCTCCCAGCTCTAAGTGTCTACTCTTCAGGTTAAAATGAGAAGACATACTCACAATGTTTAGGATCCATTTTAGTATCACTTTAAAATGTCTTAAGAGAATCTCAAAAGCCCACAATCACTAGCACTGAATTAGAGGACCTACTTGAATTAACATTTTAAAGACCTCCAAGGTATATTTGCTTTGTTTTGCCAATGCAGTTTTACGACTTACTTCTAACTATCCTCACTCTAATTCTCATTCTCTAAATCACACTCCTTCAAAATCATACTTTTCAAAATTTTTACAAATTTGAAAGCAAGATGGAGTAATTTCTACCTCCTCATTTGGGGTCAAGTGCATATTTATTTTGTGTGGGCAACAAGTTAAAACTGGTTTCTTCCTTATATAGTATATGTTTGCTAATTACCAATTTTACATTAATTTAACTTATAACCAATGATAAATTACTGAAATGGAAAGTTCTATACAATGTTTTAAATTCCAAGGCAACTCCTAAAGGAAAGCAGCCTAAATTTGAGGGTTTAGTAATTCCACCAAATGTCTAACAACTGCTCCAGAAAAATCAGAAATACTTATTAGTGTAAATTCTAAAATTTAACATAAAATCCCAGTCTCTCTTAATTTTTTAAACCTCTAGTTATTTTAACTCACAAACCTTAAGACTCCTTTGACTGAAGGCTACAGCAAAATAAACACAAAAGATGACCAGCAGATTTTACACAAGAGTATTCTGAAATTGTCAGTGAGGGCCAAATCTAACAATTGAGTTCCTGGCTGCATTTAAACAAAACATTTTCCTAACCAGACCACTCACAAGGGCAGAGGCCTTTGCTCTTAACCCATGATTTTAAAAAACAACGTAAGGATTGTGGCTAAGAATCTACCAAGCTACCAGATAAACAGAATTTGTATTCTAGATTTATAAGACTTTTTTTTTCTTTAATGTTGGGGGACAGAGAAGTGGTTAGAGTTTTTCTCATGTCTTATTTATACACACTAGCTAGGAATATCATGAGCCCATTTTCTTCTCTTAGCTATATTATGGGAGATGATACAGATGGACACAACCTTCCATAACCACGCACCTTCTAGGAAGAGGTATATCAAGCCAGAATATACATTTTCCCTACAGATTGAGGCAAGGGCAAAACTGGCCCTTAAGGAAAATGAATGCAGTGACCGACCTGGAGAAGTGGCTCTTTCTAAAAAAGGGTAAAATCTGAAGGGTTTAATAAATATCAACGCCAGAAACTACTGCGCGTTTACATGCTGCACTGTTTCGTTTGACATTTAACTTCTTGAAAGAACAGGTCAGGTGTTAATGTTCAGAATACACCTCTGTCTTCTATAACCTCAAGCAAGGACACGAGCGCTTGGGAAAAGCTGCCTTGCGTTTCTGCAGGCTGGCGGCACGGCTTAGAGTCAAGTCATTCGTAAACAGCAGAATCTAAGTTACCTGTATTTCCCTGGCGTGGTACACGATGATCAGACCGAGCAAGATGATCGTGGAGAGACTGATAAGGCATTTCAGAGCTAAGGAATACAGCGACGCCTGCAACACAGTCAGACAGAAGCACTTTTAAGAAAGAAGCACTTTTTACCACCTTCCAGGCCCTGTGGGTCAGTTCCCAGCAAGCAGACCCGAACTCCAGGAGGGTGGGGATGTGGGGGTACACCTGCCTTGGCTCCGTGACCTGCCAGATCACTTGGCCTCAAAGTGAAGGTGGATGACCAGGTAGCCGGGTCCGCGCCATCACTGACTCAAGTTCAGATCCTGGCTCTCGAAACCCGAGAAGTTGAGCTTAAGCGCTGGGGGAGGGGGGGGGGGATGAAAGGGGACTCTAATCCGAAAACCAGGAGAGGAATGGAGCAGGCTTTTCCCCACCGCCTCCCAGAGCCACCTATTTAATGTGCCCAAACGCGCCGGGCGCTCGCTGCCTCCAGAACTTTGGCTGCGCGCGGCCAGGCTTCCTCTCCAGAGTTGCCTCGCGGATAAGGGGTGCGCGCCTGAGCCCTGTTCGCTGTGCCGGGGACACAACCTCCGGTCCGGGGAAGGCTCGGACTAGCAGGCCAGGAGTTCCCGCCAGGGCGCATCCCAACAAGCCGGCGTCCGGCTCCGCGGGCCGGGGAAGGGTGGGAGGGGTCCGGGCGCATACCTTGTCGTAGGCGCCCCACGACAGCTCGGTCTCGATGACCATGACCACGATGCCGAACATGCCGAAGATCAGCGCGTAGTCGCTGAGCCGCTTGCGCTTCTCGAACAGGGCGCGCCGGTGGCCCAGCTTGTAGCCGATGTTCTGGTTCTTCTTTTTGCTGGACTTGGGGCCGCCGCTGCTGCCGTGCCCGCCGCCGCTGCCGCCGCCTCCTCCCGTGCTGCCTCCGCTGCCGGCTCCATAGAGCGCCAGGTTGTTGGAGTTGTTGTGCTCCGGCTTAGACACCACGATCTCCGGGGCCGAGGACGAAGCGGCGGCGGCTGCAGACGGGGAGGACGAGCCGCCACCTCCTCCGACGGCCGCGGGCGGCTGCAGTGGCTGTGCCTCCGAGTCCATCTCGTGCAGGTTCCGGCGGGACGCGCTCAAGTTGCTGAGCGGCCGCATGACGCCCCCGTTGTACCTGCAGCTGCTCATGGCTATTTCGGTGAAAGGGTTGCTCTCGCGGCGCGCCGGGGGCTGGTGCGGGTGGTGGTGCGCCGGGTGCGGATGGTGGTGGTGCGAGAGCGCGGGCCCGGAGCCCAGGCTGCCCAGGCTGCCCGTGGGACTGGCGGCGGGCTGGCGGCTGTGGCACTGGTGGTACTGGGAGGCGGGCGCCGGCTGCTGCGTGTAGTGCTGCCGGGGCGCACTGGCATGGCTGGACGGCGTCAGCTCGCTCACATTGAGCTGGCTGCCCCGGCGAGACGAGCAGCAGCCGCACGACGAGCCCGACAGCGGCGAGGAGGTGCGGAGCAGCAGGGACAGGTTATCCCCCGCCCCCGCGCCCGCCCCCGGGGCCCCGCAGGCGGCGCAGCTGTTGCACCGGAGGCATGGGCTGCTCCCGCCGCTGCCCGGCTGCGGGTGGCGGGGAGCGTGCGGGAGGGGCGCGAAGGGCGGGCGCGGCTTGTCCTGGCTCTGGTGCTGCTGGCAGTGCAGGTGCGAGGGGCGCGGCGGCGGCGGCGGCTCCGAGAAGAAGCCGCGCTGGAACTGCAATGAGGTTTCCATGTCCGGGCTGTTAAAGCTGCAGGGAGACCAAGCGGTGGTGCACCCTGCGCAATGCGTTATAGTCGGGAGCGGGGACTCCTGCTGCTGGTGCGAGGAAGGGCCCATGCCGGCTCCGGTAGAATCCAGGCGGCGAGTCCGATTGGCTGGGCGCACCAAAACAATGGGCATGACATCACCTGCGGGGACCAAGACTGAGTTTGCGGCGCGCGCGGCTTCGGGGAGCCCGGGTGGAATAGAGGAAGGGAGCAGGGGGACAGGATCTGCAGGGTGAAAGCCCAAAGACGCGCAGGCCAGGACTGGGTGCAGGCGGGCTTTCCACCTGATGATTGGGAGCGTTCGGATCACCTCTAGGGCAGCCCTACTGCAGGAGGAGGAGAAAAAAAAAGGGCGTCCGTCCCTCCCTCTTGCCGCCTCCTAACTAGTGCCGGACGCGCACTAGATCACCTACACGGGGCACTGCAGCACGTTGGGCCACCCCGGCCGTGGGTCAGGCGCGGAGACAGTGCGGAACCCGGGCCACTCCCCCGCCCGCGTGCACGTCTCGTAGGGCTGCAGAACTGCACCCCATGGCCTCACGCCCACTTCTCCGACCGTCCCACGAAAAGTGGGCTGCCGGCTGCCCGCCAAATAACTGCGGAGACACAGGTTCTGGAGAGAAAAAGGTTGGCACTGGCTATGCCAGTGCAGCAGGGCTTGGAGAGAACCCCAGGGCCTTAGCCCCAGTTAGGCCGCTGCGAGATCAGCGCGGGCCACGCGCCCCGATCTTCCCCGGCGCTTGACTCCGGCGCCCTGGAGTCGGATTGGCGGCGCAGCGCTGTTGCTAGATTGCGCTGCAGCGCGGGTAGGGTTAACCATCCGTAACCGGCCGGGGGAAGATGGGGGCGGGGCCGGAGGAGGGGATCCCCACCGACTGGGGAGGAGCCCGTGCGGGCTTCCCGGGTTCCCCTGGCGGGGGCGGAGGGCTTTCCCACTACTGCTGCTCACTTTTGCGCCTACTGCGGAACATGGGGGGCGGGCACCCCCGGCCTTCGAGGCCTGGCTCCGCCCCAGTGGATAGGTCCGCGGGCTTCTCCGGACGTGGTGAGGCGACTTGCTCGAGGGTCTGGGGACTGCTCTGCCACCGCCGGCCGCCAGCTCCGCTTCCGTTCTGCCTTCTCCCCACCTGCAGCACAGACACAGAGCAAAGGCGGGTCACACACGCCGAGCATCCTCTTTTCCGAGCCGGGACTGCGGCGGCGGCTGGGAGAGGGGCCTGGAGCCGGCTGATTTGCGCCGGTAGTGACAGCCTGGCTGGGAAATTATTAATAATGATAACCCGGGCCGAGTGAAGCTGCCTGGAGACAGTGCTGGAGCTTTGCTAGAGTTAGGTGTTATATTTATTTACTGTCTAATAAACTAATAAATTTCGCATTTTGTGCCGCACACATTTCCTGTGATGTGTTTGTTCTTTTAGGTGATGTACCAGCACAAAGCGGTAGGCGACCACCTGGAGGGTTCTTACCGCTCCATCTGAAGTCTGTATCTTTTGTATTCCTTTATCAATTGAAATTGCCGTCTCCCGAAAAGGAAATGAAAGAAATTGGCCAGTTGAATATTTGTTTCCATTTTAAATGGTGATTTTAAAGCATGGTTTTTATGATGGAGATGATTATAATGACTTAGACTAAGAAATGAGTGAAAGTGGATCACCCTAATTAGGTAATTGGAATTCTCAGCTGGATCCAATTTCTTGATACTCTACTCGGCAGCTGCCCTAACGTGGCTTACCGTACCTGTTCCTAAGTGGGTGTACGTGTGTTTTCAATGCCATGGAATGAATAATTCATTTTAGGATATCCTTTGGACATGGTTTAGCAATTTTAATTTTTTGTACATGTTAGTAAATAGATACAGAAGAAAAATGGGAAAAGGTTGCTTTTCGTCCCATAGTCCTCAACTTGAGGCAATGAATACTGTCAGAACTTGCATTTCTCAATAGTTTAGGTCAGGAGTAGAATTTGAATGGCTAAAAACTGGAGACAGCATTTTGTTTCTATAATCCACTATGATTTTTGGCAATTTAAGAAAACTTGTTTAGAGTTATGGAGCTCATTGAATCTTTGGGGTGGCTGAGTAGATATTGCAAGAATTGTGTGGCGAGCATGACCATTAAAAACAATTCTAATGAGCAATTTGAAATTACAATGAAAGATTCCAAATTAAAAGCTATTCACCTTATGGTGAGAAACAAAATTCAACTCTAGCACAAAATCCATCATACATTTATTTTCACTTTATAACAAATTGTATAGCCTTCCTCTAGTTTTATTTAGTTAATGAGTGAAAAGTTGATTCATCGTTACAAATCTAAATACTTCAAAGAAGTATTTATCTCGGTAAATTAATATTTTCATTAATGTTTCATAAACTTAGATGAAAGAATACATAGACCTCCCTCTTCCCCAAACACCACAATAATTGTTACCATCATCAAATTAGATACAACTTCCTAGATTTACCAAGATGTCCTAAGAAAAGTAATGGCTGCATCCTCTGTGTCAAACTTTCTCAAATAGCAAATTCAAGGCTTTAAATACAGATTCCACAAACAAAATAACAGGGAAACAATATTGTATTTTTGCCATGTGTGTCTCTATAGCTTAATATGGAATTAGGTGCATGCCATGGATCACACAGAAACAAAGTGTTTACTGAGATTTATGGCAATATTCAGTTCCCACAACTCACAGAAAGGTTTCAGGGGAGGCTGGAATGCATAAAGTAAGAAAGACATGGAGATTTGGCCCACAGCATGAGGAACTGTCAGAATACTAAAGCTCAGGTTAACAGTGCTCCCACCTAGCAAATATTTTGAAAAAGTTCATGAAATAATGTGAAGCCCCCTGCAATTGAAAAGGAGAGCAAATCGATCAAATACTTAGCATCTTTCTGTTTTAAGGAATCATCTGATCACACACACACCCCAAAAATCTTGCTAATAATTGACTGGGCAGTGGGACCATCCTCTATTATATGATGATGAAAAATCAAAAAACATCCCACAACTTTAAGTTTCATTTTTAGTCTGAATCTTCATAACTTTATTCTTTGGGGCATCTTACACTGTTGGGTTATGACAGGGTCACATTTAAGAAGTTCTTATTACATCATTCCTCTTTGCTTTATGAAACTAACAAATGAATTTTAAGCTTTTATGTAAACTTTAAAAATATACATACCATAATTTTGCTTTCTTTTCCTATATTTGATCGTAGAGGTACATGTAACATGTAAAGTGATGCAGTTAGAGCAACAAAGACTGCCATGCAGACAGTGCTTTGCACATAGTAGGTACATTTACAGTTGTGAATGTGAGGAGGGAAGGAATGAAGAAAGATGGCAAAACAAGACGCTGCAGCCTCCAATGACAAACTTTTGGAAAATGACATTTGCTTCTCTTTCTGCCTTTAAAATATGTAAATGCTGGAATTTCTCTGATTTAACACCAGAGGTCATACTCATCCACAAAATGCATTTTAAATCTAATCAATTAAATACACTCCATTTACCATTTTTGGTAAAAATTACACTTTTTTTTCATCTATACTAGAACAGGTGCTTTCCCACATTTGTTGTATTTCAAGCCTGTGAACACACACATGCATGTGTTTAGCACCCTCCCAGAACACACACACACACACACACACACACACACCAGTCTTAGAAGAATGGTGCTTTCCCACATTTGTTGTATTTCAAGCCTGTGAACACACACATGCATGTGTTTAGCACCCTCCCAGCACGCACACACACACACACACACACACACACACACCAGTCTTAGAAGAATGGTTTTCCCAGGCCACAGGGACCTGTGTAAAAGCTTCAGATTGTTTGTACTCCAATCTCTTACTTTATTCAGATTTATGTTATGCCATTGTTTATGATTTACTTTTGCATTGGAGTGATTCGTGCTATCTCTCTATGTTGTTCCTTAAAAAGCAGGACTCTCCTGACCTTGAAAGTTTCTGGTCAATTTTCAAAGGCAGTCAGGGCAGTTGAGCAGGGGACAGGACATCTGTTTCCCACACTGAGGGGCTGAGGGAAACTCTGACCTACAAAGTAAATGGTTTTTTTCTGACACCTTCTCTTTTCTTTGCCTGGGTGACTAAATTACTTAGAGGTGCCAGGCCTGGAGTTGTGATAAGCCCTGGCCTCTCTGAACTTAGTTTGCTTAGTAGTAAATGAAAATGGGACCCAGGGCAGTATCAGAGTTGTTTTCTTACACGATGCCAACTCCATCTTTCCTGAAACAATTAAAAGGCCATTAAAACAGGTATTCTTAAACCACATATTGTCCTAATTTCATACCTACATTTGAAGACAGCATTAGAATAATAATTATTACATGTATTCTTTGTACCTCTGCATTATAATTAGAAAGTATTAAGTCCTGAATGAGCTTATGGGTGGCAGTCTTGCTAATTTTTAGCAATACCACTATTGCTCAGGGACAAATTATCATGTTGAGGCCTATTCACTAACTTCATCAACTTTCCAAGGTTTTTCTACTCTCATCTTTGTCTCCATTTCTCAGCTAATCAGGACATCTACACTTTTGTGTAGTGCCAGCGAAAGAAAGAATAAAAAAAACTTAGAACTTACCCTAATTTTGCTAATAGAATTGAACTGTGTTATATAAGCAAATAGGTAAGCCAGTTGAATATTGACTGTGAGAAGTCTTTTAAAAATAGGCTGTGGATTTCACACACAAATATCCCTTGGCAGCTAGAAACACATCCAAATCTAGAAAGTCATTTAAAAAAACTACAGCATTCTAGTTTATAAAGCAGTTTCTCATGTGTTATTTTATTTGCATTTCATAAAAACCCTCATGGAAGCTAGGAAAGCTTTTATTACCATCTCCATTTTACAAGTAAATGCTTGAGATACAGCACCTGGGCCATCTCAGGTCCCAAAGTGAGAAGCAAGGAGAAGCCAGCTTTTAAATACAGTCTTCTGAGTCTGTCAGGTGAGATGAGCAGAACAACCTATGTACTCTATTGGCTCATACAGGCTTAGAACCCACTCATGGTCCAGGAATGGTCAGCAGTGGCTCGCCCTTATCACTCACTGCCTTTGCATTACCTCACAGACATTTCCCCACTGGTTTGATCAGGATTCTGTGATCCTTAACTCTTGTCCTCTCGTCACCTTCATTTAATCAACAGAATAATTTATAAGAATCTAATACAAATATGGATAAAATAACTGTGCTGTATGCACACAGGCCCAAGATGCCTCACTAAAAAGTATATTAAAAAACTACAGTCCTGGCCTATTTTCAGTTTTCTTCCTATGTTGCTGGCAGACTGGGCATTCCTTTTTGGGGGGGCAACATCCACAGTAAAAACTGAGAATGAATAGAGAGTATTTATTTACATGAACAAGGTCCTTTTTCTTTATGGAATAAGGGAGACATAACAGGCTCCAGCAGCTCCTTGCTGTGTGGCCTGGGAGGCCTTGTCCACAGTCTGGCAGGACCTCCTTGGCTCCGGAGTTTCTATGCTCTGACCCAGCGATTATCTCATGGCTTCTCCCTTTATGCCCCAAAGTGAGAGAAACAGAGAAAGGAAGTCAGGCTGTGTGCCACAGGGAGAGAGAAGCCAGTGTGACTCAAGCTGGGCTAAAGAGTTAACAAAAGGGGAACCAAAGCTATGCAAAACCATCCCTAAGTACTGATGTCAAAGCTTCCACTTGGTGACCCCCAAAGTTCCCTGGTTGCTCAGTGCTAACACATAATGCGGCTCCAACAGTTCCCTAAGGCTTGTTTTCTCTCTGAAATTCAGTGTATTTTTCCCATCATTATTTTCTCCTCTCTTGTAGGATCAGGGCACACAATGCATTAGCTCTTTTCCCTTTTTTCTGTTAATTGCATTCCCACCTGTTATTCATCAACCCTCTATATTTTCCTTTTTCTTTTCCACCTCTTGCCAAACAGGCTCAGTAGGGACACCACAGCTTCATCTCCCTGTTGGGAATCATTTGTAAATTCCAATCTCCAAATAATAGTTTAGGGCAAGGCAAGACTTGGGCCCACTCAAATAAAGGGAAAGAATCGCAGTTCCCTAGGCAGAATTAAGCATAACAATGTCATCACCAACAAAACACACTAAATGTTAATAAAAACTTCTTCATGGTTTGCATATTCATCCTCACCTAATATATCACGTTTTTCTTAAAAATTACTTTCATTCAGTGTGGTTGCTGTTGTATTGTAGGGCTATAAATTCAGTAGCACATTTTGTCTACTGTTTTTTAATTATCTGTATGATGTAAAATGATAGGCATGACACAATTTTTATCATGAAAACATGATACACACTAGACAAATGTAATGACAACACTCA